TTCCCCGCGATTCATGCAGGACGCACGCTTCCACAACCCGCCTACTCGACCTGACCGTCTGAATCCGCCTCCCCGATCCGCCCGTTAGGGTCTACCCGCCCGATCTGCCCGTCTGGTTCTGCCAAGTGTGTTCTGCTCCTAGCCCCTTCTCATGCTATTCTCTCTCGTGCTCCATCCTCCTCACTCCCCTTGCCCCTTTCTTCCATCCGTCCTCTCTTCCCCTGCCTTCGGGGCCGAGGAAATTAAAACTGCAGGTAAGAAAGATATACCCCTAAGGCGGTACCATCGAAGACGAAGAGGGCGGGTATCGAGGGTTTGGGACATACGTGATGAGTGGCACGCGAGCAGATAAGAGCGAATCGTCGCAACATGACTGTTGCTGTTGTGGCTGAGATTGTTGTTGTTGTGGCTGTTGGGGGGCCTGCTTGGGTGGTGCCTCGAAACGCTTGGGCGTGAGCCTCAATGTCAAAGGAAATGCAGCCGGCGCCGAGGCGAGATCGCCAAAGCACCTCCTGGGGGTTCAACCAATCATACAATTGTTTAGTAACTGAGGTTCAGCTGCCAAAAACCCTTGCTTGGCGATCCCCGAGGCCTGGAAACACCGGGGCCTCCGCGTTCGGGCCAAAGAACCGCCGTGCTGTGGCCGGTTGGACACGAGGCCGTCCTCCTTGAAGACACCACCAGTGGTCCAGGGGGCGCCTGCGAAACGAGATTGGCGTCCGCAGAGAGCCCGTGCCTCGAAACAGATCGACTATCCTCAGGGAATGCCCGACGCCATAGCCGGAAAACCATCGGGCGGGGGACGGGAAGAGAGAAGAAGAGGGGGATAGGGGGGAGGAGGCTGCCAAGGACGATGGGGAAGCAGAGAGGGGGAGTGACGATCAGTAGCCGCTGGAGGAAGACCGAGGCACAGAAAGGGGGGGGGGAGTGAGGGAGCAGGGGGGGGGGCAGCGGGAACACCTTCTGTTCGGCATCGGGGTGCAACCTCCGCTGCGCAGTGACAGGCTCTGGAGGCTGGCTCGGGGAGCGGGGCCCGCTGCCCCAGTCGCACCCGTCTTCGGCAGCGCTTCGCCGGAAGCTCCGCTCACTCAGCCGTACTCGGGGAGCGGTTGGAACACTGGCGGACGCCCAACTCCTCAGACACAAAAGACAGCATCGCACGCGGCCCCCCCCCCCCGCACCTGCTGACACACTTCGTGCAGAACGGTGGCATCGAATCCCAATCATGGAATCCGCGCAGAGCCCGCACGGAAGCAAGCACACTGGACGACATTTAAATGCTGCAGTGGACGGCTGCCTTCAAAAGAACGTGGCGGAGCACGTACGCGGCATTGGACACCACATTGGCGAAGAGGTGAGCTGGAGACGTGCAGGTTACAGGAACGAGGCATACAAGAGCGGAGATTCAGGAATGACGGAGGGCATAGGGTATCGTATTACTCATCCTCCGAATTTGACTGACCGCGTAAATCTTCACAATCCAGTGAGGGAGGGGGGAGGAAAGAAAGAATAGACCTCGCCGCCAATAACTTCGGAACCCCGGTTTCCATGGTTCCTGGGAGCTGCCGGGCGCTCTGACTTGCTCTTGGGGTGCCCCGCGTGATTTTTCCTGAAGCCCAGGCAACGTGCTTCGGAATCCATACTTCCAATTCGGTCCAGTATGGTCCCGTCCTGAAGCCGCCTTGCAAACCTCTTGGACAGTATCAGAGGCCCTCGGGGCCAGTCAGAATGATTGCGCGACTTATGCGTTCGTCAGGTGCCGTTCCAGACGGCCCAACGCGGCCATGAAGATCGTCCGAAGACGGCCCTCGAGTCTCCCGAGGCGGCTCAAAAGACTTCCAATACGGGCCCGAAAAAGGACCCCAATTGCGCGCCACCATCAGACCGCTGGAATTCTCCTCTCTGGAATGCGTCCAAGACTCCGAGAGACCCCTAATAGGTTCCAAACAAACCAACAACACGCTCCCAGAGGCGGCACCCAAGAGGCTCGCAAAGGGGCCCCCAAGATGTCTTTGAGACATCCAAGGAGGCCAACATCCCGAGAACCGCGGTACTCCCAAACACGTTCTACTGCGCCTCGCCCCCACAGACCAAGCACGCTGGCGGGATGGACCGGCGGCCAGCATCGTGGCCCCACAGGGAGCTGCACCGAAGGCACCAGTGGCGGTGCACACATGCGTCCCCGCCGCCTATGTCGGCACACACACACACACACACCTCACACGCTTCGTGGCCCCATACGGAGCTCCACGGAAAGCCCCAATGGCGGTGCCCACATGCGCTCGCGACACCCATCTCTGCACATCCCTCACACGTTTCGTGGCCCCATAAGGAGCTCCACCGAAGGTTCCAATAGCGTTGCCCACATGGGTCCCTGCCACGCATGTCGGCACACCCCCTTCAAGTTGCGTGGCCCCACAGCGAGCTCCACAGAGGGCCCCAGTGGCAGTGCCCACATGCGCCCCAGCCACCCATTTCGGCACACCCCATCACACGTTTGGTGTCCCCATGGGGAGCTCCACCGAAGGCCCCAATTGCGGTGCCCACGTGCGTCCCCACAACCCATGTCGGCAAGCCCCTCACACGCTGGAAAAAAGGGAACCGAAGAACAACCAACGGCGACGAAACAAACAAACGGGCGCCAGAAAAACAATGGCGCCGAAAACAAACAAGAGCGCCGAACAACAACAAACGCAGAAAAAAAGCAGGGGCCCGAATAACAAACGAGGGAGACGACGAAAACCTGAGGGCGCGGAAAAAAAGGGCGCAGAAAAACGAGAGCGCCGAGAACAACGAAATGGCGCCGAAAAAAACAGCGGCGCCAGAAACAAACAAAATGGCGCCGAATAAATCCAGGGGCGGCGAAACAAACAACAGGCGCCGAACAAAAAGACAAAGGTACCGAAACAGATTGGCCCGAGCAAAAAACAAGGGCGACGCGCGGCTAGTGGCCCACAATGAAACAAGAGCAGAGCACAACAACAGTTGGAACGCCATACCCAAACAAAACAAAACCAAGCAATACGAGCAAGTGATAACATAAAAAATGTACGTACACATATATGTATATTATAAAACACGGCACGTCGCATGCAACCAGACAAGACATGCAACGGAACGCGTCGCCCAGACAAGCGGTCAGCATCGTTTTCAAACTTCGTCCGATAAAAAAAAAGGCCATTTAGAGCGAAAAGAACAACGAAACACCCAAAACTCACGGCAGAACAGCGTTTAGATGGCACCCTGCCGTATTAGGTAGGGCGGGGCGCATGTGGTCACAGCCGCTGGGGCCTTCGATAAAGCTCCTTGTGGGGCCACGAAGCGCAGCACTGGGTGGCGCGGGGCGCATGTGGTCACAGCCGCTGAGGCCTTCGGTGGAGCTCCCCATGGTGCCACGAAGCGCCGAAATGGATGGCGCGGGACGCATGTGGTCACAGCCACTGAGGCCTTCGGTGGGGCTCCCCATGGGGCCACCAAGCGCAGCACTGGGTGGCGCGGGACGCATGTTGTCACAGCCGCTGGGGCCTTCGGTGGAGCTCTCTGTGGGGCCACGAAGCGCAGCACCGGGTGGCGCTGACATGGTGGACATGCGGAGGGCAGAGGCAAGGGTGGAAGGAGGGAGGAGGGAGGAGGAGGGGGAGGAGGGGAGGAGGGGGAGGAGAGGGAAGAGGAGGAGGAGGAGGAGGAGGGCGGAGGAGGGCGGAGGAGGAGGAGGAGGAGGAGGAGGAGGAGGAGGAGGAGATAAGAGGAGGCGCGGGACGCTGGTTCTTCAAAACGCAGACACCAAGCCACAGGATAGTAGGAAGAAAGACCCCCCAAGGCCGAAGAAGCCCTCACAGGGGGCCCCAGAGGCCTCCAAGAGAGGCCCCAGAGGGAAACCCGAATTACAATTTGGAGCCATTCCCCGAAAAACAACCTCGGAGAACGCCCACAGGCCCCCTGAAGACCCTCCGAAAGCCCCACTTGGGTGCCCAAAACGTCCCCGAGAGACCCACACCGAACCTCTACGACACCGCAACCTTCCTGGGGCCTTTGTCCCGATCCGCTTTCAGGGTCGGCGGAGCCGGCCGTGCGGCCTCTACAGTAAGCCCTGGTGAGCCTCGGTGCCGAACCAAAATCGAGGCGCGCACGGCGTTCGAACAGAAATCGAGGCGCGCACGGAGTTTCACAAACAAACTAATACATACGGCCTGTCGCATTCCAACAGCAGGGCGGGGGGGAGGTGAGGGGGGTGAGCTGGGAAGATGGAAAGGCAACGAGGGGAGAGGACGAGGAAAAGAGGTCGACTGGCAAGGCTTGGGCCTGCGCACAGACAGCCCCCGAGGCAGTCCTGCCAGGGCCTGGCATCGGCAAGCCCCCGGGGCCCAAGGGCTGCCCCTGGCGGTCTCCACACCCCATCGCGGCGGCGCGGAACGCCCGGGGGGGGGGGGCGCCGCTGGAGACGGCGCCAGGGTACTGAAACCGCCACGGGCTAATCCACTAGGTAGGGAGGCAACCACAGTGAAAACGTATAGTAAGGACGCGTGGTAAGGACGCAAGACCCTTGGTGGCCGAAGTTGAAGTATTCTGGCCTGCGGAAATTGCTAGGGACGGGCCGCAGAGGCTGAGGCAGGCAAGGACCCAAGGGTACCCCAAGGGTACCCTTGAAAAAGTCGTTTGTCCTTACTATGCGCGTTGACTGTACTGGGGGGTTTTCGTCGGAAGGATTAAAGAGGATTAAGCCCCATTTGGGAGCTATTACGCCGGAGTGGGCCAGACTTCGGACCAGGGCAAAATCAGGATTTGACCTCCCAGGACTTGCCTCCCAAACTAGGGGCCTGTTGAGGCCGGCCCGGTCTGCCTCCGAGGGCTGCCTCGTGCAAGCCCCGAGTGACCCAGGGGAGGGGGGAGGGAGGCCGGCGCGCACAGGAGGCCATCGAGTGGGCCCGAGGCCGGCGTGAAACCCGGGACAGGAGCGCCGCGATGCGGCCGCGCGGCAGCGGCGGCCAAAGGGGCCGAGGTCACTCTGGCGTGTCCTGCCTGTCGGGGCACCGGCCGCGGCCGCGGCAGCGCGGGCGGGCGGCGAACAAATCTTCGGCGGCTCGAAGAATCGAGACAACCCGTGTTTCAACATCGGGGCGTGCGCAGGCCGGTCTTGGGCCCCGGGACTGTCAAAAGACTACCCGGGATGAATCAACCTGCTCAAGGGGAGGTGTCGAGAGGTCCCTCGGCCCGGAAAAAAAACATTCTATGCGAAGGGCCCAGCCATATGCAGGTGTGAATATCGCCGTTGTGGGTATCGCTTTCGGCGGATCTCTCTGTGTGGGGCCACGGAGCGAGTAGAGGGTGCGCAGACATGGGGCGGGTGCGCACGCGGGCGCAACCATTGGGGCCTTCGGTGGCGTTCCACATGGGGCCACGGAACGCGTGAGTCCGTCAAGGCTTGCGCACATACGGCGCATTGGCAGATAAAAACTGATGGCGCCAAACTGCGGCGGCAGGGAACAGCAGGAGCAGAAGAACAAGGAAGAAACGGGGGGAGAAGGGAGGGGCCACAGAAAAACCACAGTCAAAGCGACTGGAGTATAGCGGGGTGTGCCGAAATGGAGCAGGGTCGCCATGCGAACGTCGCCGTTGGGGCCTTCGGTGGAGCTCACTCTGGGGCCACGAAACGCGTGAGGGATGTGCCGAAATGGGCGGGGGGAGACGCCTGTGATCACAGCCGTTGGGGCCTTCGGTGGACCTCCCTATGCGGCCACGAAGCGCCGCACTGTGTGGCGCGGGACGCATGTGGTCACACACGCTGGGGTCCTTCGGTGGGGTTTCTGTATGGGGCCACAAAGCGCAAACTGGGTGGCGCGGGACGCGTGTGGTCACATCCGATGAGGCCATCAGTGGAGCTCCCGATGGTGCCACGAAGCACCGTACTGACTGGCGCGGGGCGCATGTGGTCACAGCCGCTGGGGCCTTCGATGGAGCTGCCTATGTGGCCACCAGGCGCTGTACTGTGTGGCGCGGGACGCACGTGGTCACAGCCACTGGAGCCATCAATGGAAAGCCCTACGAGGCCACGAAGCGCCGTTTTGGATGGCGCGGGACGCATGTAGTCACAGCCACTGGGGCGTTCGGTGGAACCCACCATGGGGCCACGAAGCGCAGCACTGGGTGGCGCGGGACGCAGCCGCTGGGGCCTTCGGTGGAGCTCACTATGGGGCCACGAAGCGCCATGCTGGCTGGCGCGGGACGCATGTGGTCACAGCCACTGGAGCCTTCTGCGCGGCGTCCCCTATGAGGCCACGAAGCGCCGTACTGACCGTCGCGGGACGCATGTGGTCACAGCCGCTGGGGCCTTCGGTGGAGCTCCCAATGGGTTCACGAAGCGCCGTAGCGAGCGCCGTGGGGCTCACGTGGTCACAGCCGCCGGGGCCGTCAGTGGAGCTCCCTACGGGGCCACAAAACGCCGTACCGGGTGGCGTGGGACACATGTGTTCAGTCACTGGTGCCTTCGGTGGAGCTCCCTAGAAGGCCGCGAAGCGCCGTGCTTGGTGGAGCAGGGCGCATGTGTTCACAGCCGCCGGGGCCTTCTGTGGACCCGCCCATGGGGCCGCGAAGCGCCGGAGTGAGCGCCGCGAAACGCATGTGGCCACAGCCACCGGGGCCTTCCGTGGAGCTTCCCATGGGGCCACGAGGCGCCGTGCTGGATGGCGCGGGGCGAAGTGGTCACGGGTCGGACATTCCTCTGGGGGGTCGGCCCCCTGCAGTGCGGGCGCGGCCGCAGGAAACCCTCGCAGGAAACCCAAGCCTGAGAACCCGCGCGCGAGGTGCACCAGAGGGGAAACCCGGAGCACCCTGAGCGCAGCAGCTCCTTCAAGGGCCGCGGGAAGTCGCGGCGCAGCGCGAGCAGCTCAGAAACCCAGGATACCCCGACGTAAAGCATCTGGTTTCTTGATGCGCGCCCCCAATGTATGCGGTGGCGCACGCTCCCGGGTTTGTCCACGCATTGCCAGGGTGCACCGTCGCATAGTCCTCTTCCTGCTCTCGGAACGACTTCGTCTTGGTCCTACTTTTACTTGGCACACCAGGCGCAGACCGGGAAATCGGCGAGGCCTGCGACCAATAATCACGTTGTCGCGGGGGTCCTCGTCCACTTTCTGCGTTCAAATCTGAAGAATTGCTATCTCTTCCGGAAATACGAACTCTGACGATGCTCGCCAGAATTCGCCTTTTCGGATGATCCTAGCTACTCGCCAGGTCGGTCAGGCACCCGTCTGACATTGCGTTCTCCCTGCCGGCCGCCGCATTGCAGCTGCGATGGCGATGGAAGCTGCCAGCTGGGTCAACAGAGGGGACGCCACCCTGCCCCCATTCGGTTGGTAAGGTGTTTGGGGGGCCAGATGATCTACGGCATCTGCAAAACAGCCTGGCACATCTGATGCGTATTCGTGTGGATGCCATGACGATGGACAATCTAACAATCCCATCATTGAGTTAAACATGTGTTCTAGATGTGTACAACATGTTCTGAAAATGTTTCAAACATGTGCTTGCATATCTAAAACATATTTGAAACATAGTTCAGACATCTGGAAGGTATTGGGCAGCATGCTTCCTCTCCATTAATCGACTTCCACAAACATAACGGCGACGAGCGGGTCAATCATAAAATAACTCGGGCAGGATGCATGATCGACGCGTGCTTTGCCACCCGTTGCTTCCAGATCCGCACAGCCGCTCCCCCGGAACAGTTGGGACAACAGTAACACCACGAATTGCAACATTTGAAGGGGCCCTGGGACACACAAATAAATACACACAAATAACTGGATTCCCCATATGTTCCCATATTTTCTGGGTGCTGGTCTTCCCCCCCCCTTCCCATATGTTCCCATACTTTCTTGGAAATCGACGATGAAGTGTGCCTGCGTGCTTGTTCCCCTCCTGAACATTGTTGCACGCCCGCGGCATCATGCAACTGGGCGAGACTTGTCCTGCGCAACGGCGCAGCTGCCTCAGTGCCGCGAGCGAGCGAGCGAGCGTACTGGGATTCAGGTTGGCTCCTTTTGTGCCAGGCGCCTTCGCACGAGGTGGCCGTGGCAACATGCGTTTTCACCACACCTTGCTTTAGGTCGGGCCTGTCCCCCTACAAAGTGGGATTTTGGGCGAAACAAAAAAATACTAAAAAAAAAAAAAATACAAACATGCTCAAACATAGTCAAAACATAGTCCCCTGACTATTTGTTGACTCTTCTTGGATATCCCTCCTGCAGAGGGACAGGCCCGACTTCATGCCAAGCGCCTTCGCACGAGCTGGGCGTGGTAACACGCGTTTTCCCCACACCTTGCTGCTTGGCGTCCTAATTGTGGGCGCGCCGGCGCGCCTGCTCGTCCTGCTGAGCAACCGACCCTATCTTGGAGCGCGCAATCCAACATCGGGGAATCGAGTACTGTCAAGGGGCCCAAGGACACACAAATAAATCCACGAATCCCAGGATTCCCCATATTTGTCCATATTTTCTGGAGTTTCGTCTTCCCCCCCACTTCCCATAGTTCCCCATATTTCCTGGGAGTCGACGATTAATTGTGTCTGTGTGTTTCTTTCTCTCCTGATACTGGCTCCCGCGCCCCGCGCCCTGAGGACAAACAAACTGCTCAGACGCACTGCAGACAGTAAAATGCACGGACGCGTGTGCACCAGTATGTGCGTATGCGTCTGCATGCATGTGCGTACGCATGCGCACCTGCCGTACGCATGTGCTGCCATGGCACACCATGCCAAATATGTTTGTGACGATGCCGTGCTGGGCTGGCAGCCTCTACACGTGCACGTGGCTGTGATCTGGCCACACTTGGCTTGCAGCCGTGTGCGCCCATGCGAACTCAAGACTTCGATTGGAGGCCTGGAAATTGGCACCAACACCAGCACAGGGGTTTGCCTCCACAGGGAGATGATGATCTTAGATTTCGGTGTTGGTGGTAATATTTCGGTCACCTTGGAAGCCAGAATATTACCACCATCACCGAGATCGGGATCTTCTTCCCTCGGTGGAGGCACACCGCCGATCTTGGTGTTGGTGTCAACCTCTGGGCCTCCGATTCGAAGCCGCTGTCACTGACACGCTGGGCTGCGCCCCTGCCCGGAGACGACGACCCCGAGCGGCGGGGGCCCACCCGGCCATCATGTCCAAGCGCCCAGCAGCCGTGTGCACGGCCCGCAGTGGCACGCTCGGCGAGGCGTCCTGGTTGCGCCGGCGCGCCGCCTTTCGACAACTGCTCCCCCCGGCCGGGTCCACCCGCACACTCGAGGCGGAGGAGGAGGAGGACGACGAGGAAGGAGAGAAGGAGGAGGAGGACGAGGAAGAGAGGAGGAGGAGGAGGAGGAGGAGGAGGAGGAGGAGGAGGAGGAGGAGGAGGAGGAGGATGGAGTCAAGATGCAGAGGGTGAGAAGAGAAAGGGTGTGGGGGAAGGGCACGGGGGAAGAACGCCGAGTTCTGAGATGGGGGGGGGAGTGTTGGGAGGGAGTGTCGGGAAAGGGAGGAGCTGCCTCGGCAGCCCCAGGGGACCACACGGAGGTCCCCGCAAGCCCTCGGGGGGGGCCCCAGGAGACCGCCAGGATGGCCCTGACGAGCGTCTGGAAATTGCCTCACGTCGACTGCGCCCCAAGCCAGCACTCCGCGTCTGCCTCTCCAATCTTCTCCGCAAGCAAGCTATTCAGGCTGCCTCTGATCTAACGAATCCACTCCATGACACATCACCTGCAATCCTCGCGCCTACCTGAATTTCCTGAGGCAGGGAAACTCGTTCCTGAATTCAAATATCTACCGCCCTTGCCCTTGCAATTTTTCCTCTGAACGCTTACGACGCTCCGAAACATTGGGACTTCGCTTCCGCCAGCATGAGCAGCCGGTAGTTTTTCCTGTGCTGGGTGGGGCGACGGTCCAACGTCCGAATAGCCCTGGCCGTCGCCTCATCGAAATGTTTAGTCGCATCGACGTCAATCACACCGGACAAGGCTCAGAACGCCAGGCCACGACCTTCTCAGTCTTAGGTCGGGCACGACAGACGGGACGAAAAATAAAACATGCTCAAACCACATTCCCCAAAATACTCGAAAAATCGTCCACAGACTATAGTTTGACTATTTCTGAATATTCCTCCTCTAGAGGAACATGCCCGACTTAACTAATCTCAGTCGTTTCATGCCCGACGGGCCCGTGTCAAGGCAGGCTGGGTCGGTCGGGAGGGGGCAGGCCCAGGCCTCCAGCGGCTCGAACAAAAACTACACCAGCGAGGTGTTAGCCACTCTGAGTCTCTGCTGGCTTCAGGTCGGGCACGTCCCCTACATGGGGATTTTGGACGAAAAATGAAAAATACCCCCAAAATGCTCAAAAGTGACCAAAAAGAGTCCAAAAGAGCACATCCCTGGAATTTGGTTTACTATGTGTTTCCGATTCCTCCTGCAGAGGGACAGGCCCGACTTGAGGCCAGCTTCTGGCCCTGGGACCGTCAAAGAACAGCTCGGGGTGAAGAGCGGGCCCCCGGGACAGGTGTCGAGCGGTCTGGGGTCCAGGGCTCTCTACCAGTCGGGCCGCCGGCTGCCTGGGGGCCCGCGCGACACGCCGCTCGCGCGCTCGGCTCTCCTCCTCTGGGGCGTAGTCGATGAATGTGTTCTTCACCGTCACGCGGCTTGTGTCGCCTCGCGGGGGTGCGCCCGACCTTCCGCCGCAGTCACGGACGAGCGAAGCCGAGGGCCCTCTGCAGCCTCTATCCGCAGACTGGCCGTGGAAGCCGAGACCATAGGGGGGACCCGTATGCTGTAGCAAATGCGACGAAAGGGCAACGGACTTGAGCGTAAGAGCGAAGGACTCGCGGGCACTGATCACTAAATATTCACCTTGAGTTCGTGAGGCATTTCGTGATCTCAAATTGGGCTCCAGAAAGAGCAGGCACACTCTGGTGCTCCAAGAAAATTTGGCCAACTAACCCCGCCCCCCCTCCTCTGATAACGCAGAGACGCTCGCGAATTGCGGCGTGGTCGACACCCTGTTGATTCAGGATGGGGTCAGGCATCTACTACTGAGCGCCAGTTCAAGCACCAGCCGAGGAAGGCTGGCCCCGAAGCGAAGCGATACCAAAATCCCAGCAGCCACCAGCTGGAGAGAGGCTTCCGTTGCGCACGCACGCGGCAGGGTGCCTCCACGACCTCGAGGGCCCCCAAAGGCTAAAGATCTCTGGTGCGACTTGGAAGTGGAATGCTTCTGCCGTCAACGCCTTCTCGGGCTTCCGACCGCCCTGGACGGCCCAAGAGCCCCTGAGCCCCCAGACGCCCGGAGAGGGGCGCAAGGCGGCCCAAGAGACCTTCCAAGAAGGTTCCAGAGGCTCCAAAGAGGGCGCCACGAGGGGGAAAGAAGTGACACGTCGAACCTTTCCCTGACAGAAGGCCCCCGAGACCGCCAGCAGGCCCCCAAGAGGAGGCCCCTGGAGGTGCAAAATACTGGAGGCTCCAAAGAAGCCCCAGGTGGTCCCAAAAACAACGCAGATAGATTGCCGAGAGGCCTCCCAAGAGACCCAAGAAGCCTCCAACTTGAGGAGTTCAAAACCCGGATAGCAAGGCGCCTGGAAGGCGTGGATAGGCCTGGCGAAGAACTCTGGAAGGACCTGGAGGGAACTTCCGAAGGACATTCTAGAAAGCTTCCGGGCACGCGTATTGGGAAACGCTTAGAACAGGTCTGCCGGAACACGCTGCAGGGTCACAGGAGGCGCGCCGGGGAGCCTGGACCGGCGCTGGAACGATCTCCAGGCCTACCCTGCGGTTCCGGCTTCTGAATATGGAGCCATCTTAGTTCTGAGAGAACTATCCGGGGAAAAACGCGTCTTGTCCTCGGCCCAGTTTGGTCCCAAGAGTGCCCCAAGAAGCCATCGAGTGGCCTCATCAGAACCCTTCCCTCGTGTTTCTCCTTTTCCTCCTCCTCCTCCTCCTCCTCTTCCTCCTCCTCCTGTTCCCCCTCCTCCTCCTCCTCCTCCTCCTCCTCCTCCTCCTCCTCCTCCTTTTCTTTTTATTATTCTTAATATTATTATTCGCATTATTCTTATTATTAGTATTATTAGTATTAGCCTTAGTATTCTTATTATTCTTCCTTCTCTTATCATGATTACTATTATTATTATTAGTATTAGTATTATTATTATTAGTAGTATTAGTAGTATTATTATTATTAGTAGTAGTAGTAGTAGTAGTAATAGTAGTAGTAGTACTACTACTACTACTACTACTACTATTACTACTAGTAGTAGTGGTAGTAGTAGTAGTAGTAGTAGTATGCTTATGATTCTGCGTATGCTTCTTCTTATGATCATTATTATTATGATTCGTATTAATATTATCATTATTGGTATTATTCTTCTTATTATTATTACCATTGTTATTATTAGTCGTATTATTATGAGTCTTCTTCTTCGTATTATGATTACTATTCTTCGTATTAGTATTATGATTACTCTTCTTCGTAATAGTATTATGATTCTTCTTAGTATGCTTATTATGACTCCTCGTAGTCTTCTTCTTCGTATGCTTATTATTATTACTAGTAGTAGTAGTAGTAGTATTCTTATGCTTTCTGCTTGATGTGCTTGTTCTTATTATTATTGTTCGTCATAGGATTCGTCTTTGTCTTATTATTATTAGTATTGTTATGCTTATTCGTCTTCTTCTTATTATTATTAGTATTCTTATTATTATTATTATGATGATGAGTATGATTATTATTTTTATTATTATTATTATTATGATTATTATTATTATTATGATCAGTACTCTCATTAATATTATTATTATTCATATTCTCCTCCTCTTCCTCCTCCTCCTCCTCCTCCTCCTCCTTCTTCTTACTATTATTACTCTTATTATTACTATTTGAATTATTATTATTGTTATTATTATTCCTCCTCCTCCTCCTCCTCCTCCTCCTCCTCTTCCTCCTCCTCCTCCTCCTCCTCCTCTTCCTCCTCCTCGTCCTCTTCCTCCTCCTCCTCCTCCTCCTCGTCGCTCGCCACGAGCACACCCACATACAGCACCAGTGATACAACATGGGTCGGCGGAATGAGCGAAGCGTAAAATTCGGCAAGCGCCCCGCGTGCCCTCGCCGCGATGGCCAGAGGTGTTTCGCCCACTCCGCGGGCCCGCGCCGGCCGATTTAACGAACTCTCCCGGGGACATGTAAAAGATACTGGCGACACGCGCTCTCAGCGAGAGGCCCACGCGCTTGACAGCTCCTGGGACACGCTAAAGCACCAGCGACATGCACCCTCTGGACTCCGAGAGCCTCGTTCCGACGCCTCCCTCACGCATGTCCTCTCTGATTTGTTCGTGGACGCGTAAAGATACAACGGAGCAGCGCAGTCATGGAAACGGTAGTGCAAATCCGGCACACTCCTAAAACCTTGCTTGCTCCACTCTATTGGGACACGCGAAAATACAACTGATTTGCGCTCCGAAGGCCACGAATGGCTCACTTTAAGGCCCCCTCTCAAGCATGTCCTGCCGCATATTTATATGCGGACACGCTCAAAGAAAAACACGGACTTGGGCCTCGAGACTCATGGGAAACATAAACATACGAAAAGATTGCCCTGTCCGTATCGGTGGGAATCTCAATTCGGCACACCCTTCACGCATTTCGTAATTTGGGCGTTCAATTACCCCCGAAACGGTTCGCTAAACCCCAAATCGGCACAGCCCTCGCGCACGTCGTGCCCCATGAACTCAACAGAGCCCTTAGCTGGCCTGCAACACCGCCGAATGCCCCGAGGGGCGCAACTGCGCCCCCAAGGAGCATCGCAACGGTTGGTACCTGGCAGCATCCTTAACACTCACCGGTTGCAAAATATACGTGCCAATTTCCCCGTGTGGGCCCGCCATGACTCTCGCCCTGCGGGCTCAATTCGGCGGGCCCCCTTGGCACCCTCGCCATGTTACCCATCGACGGGAAAAACATGCAAGACGCATGCAAAAAAAAAATCCCAATCCGCTGGCCCACGCCGCCCGTGTTATCAATTATCCTGGCATGGAAAAATATGCGAAATCTCTGCGCGCGACGCGTAAAGCATGACCGACCCGCGAACCCCGAAATGGATTGAAAACTGCGAGGCATGGACTTCTACGGACCTAAATTGCATAAGCAACTCTGCGATGCCAGGGCGGCGCGCCAACGAGACGCGCCGCGGAACGCCCCAAAAGACGCGCCACCAGACGTGCCGTGGGGACCCACCGCGGGACGTACCAATGGGACGCGCTACGGAATGTGCCAACGGACGTGCCACGGGGCGTGCCAGGGGACGCGCCACGCGACAAGCCACGGGGACTCGCCACGGGCTGCGCCACGGATCGCGCGAAAGAACGTGCCAAACGACGCGCCAAGGGACGCGCCAAGGGACGCGTCCGGGATCGCGCCACAAAACGCGGCACGGGACCGCACCCCCAGGCAAGCCCCGATTTCTGCTCCAACATGCCGGACCCACAAACCCAAAGAAACTGCATGAAACCGTTCCACATGCGATGCATGGCAACGTTTTGACGGCGACGAACTAGGCGATGGGCACTTGCAGCGCTAAAGGGTATCGATGGCTATGCACTGTGCCAGGGGCTGCGCTGCGCCGTGCTACGCTGGCCTGGAAGGTGCCACGCTGCATAAAACGACGTTGCCTTGTGGATCAAGTCACCCTTGGCATCCGACTCCTGGCCGAACTGATACGGATCTTAAGCTCGACCTGCCTGCTCAATAACTCTGATTTGGTCGCAATCTGAAAGCGCGGGGCGCTCGACCAGCTCGAACTTCAGATCTGATTCACTTCGGGAGCGGGGCAAACAAATAGAGGGCGAATGTACTGAAGAGTTCCGCGCTATTGCGTCGTGGATCAAGTTGCTCTTAGCATCCGAATCCTGAAGGGGGAAATAAAAACGCCCCGAGACAGCCACATCGGGCGACGGGCAGATGTCACGTCGAAAGCATCGGAACGCATGATCTGGTGCCAAAAGCCCTGCTACGCTGCGACGCGAAGCGCAGCGCTGCGTTGCAGTGCGACGTCACGCTGCGCCGACAGGTGATGTTCTCTACTGCGCTGTGAGTCAATTCGTCCATGGCGTCCAAGCCGTGCCCGAACTGATTTGATCTTGAGCTCCAGCTGCCTGGCCGCGAGGTTGCCCTGGACTGGCGGCATTCGAAACGTTCGTGGCACTGAACCAACGCCAGCTGCATACCCGAACCAGCTCTGACTCATGGACTGGGCATGCGGGACGACGACGATGGCGATTACGACGACGATAGCGACGGCAGCGATGAAGCGGTTCTGTCTTGCTGTGCAAACTCTCGACCACGAGAGCAAGTGACCGACTGACCCTGGGGGGTGCAATGCCGCGCGGCACAGAGCCGGCCTGAAAGTGCAATGCCTGGCGTGGTAGAAGGAAAACAAGGGGTCACCCCGAGGGCGCAATTCCCAGCGGAGAGAGCGAGGACGAACGAGAAAGCCAGCTGACCCTGGGGGTGCAATACCGCGGCCAGCACACTGCGTAGGCGAACCAGATCGGCAATCTCCGGCATCCGGTCGAGCTCGCTCCCGGCCCTGTCCGCGTCGCCCATCTGCGCAGAGCCCGCGTGGCCAAGGAGGCCCTGCGCCTCGCTGGCTGAGTCTCGCACGGCCTCTGGACTCTGGAGGTCGAACGAGCGCCATCCAATGTCGAGGGCAAGGCTGGTGCAGGATGACCCCCAAGGCGCGGTTGCCGTTGAGGACCATCAGGCAGCTGTCCAAGCCTCCCGCTGCGAGGATGGCGGGCTGGTGGTCCGCGCCTTGCAGAAGATCGCAGTAGCACCCGCAGTCTGCGAGGTTCTGGCGCAAACCCCAGTTGTTGAAATCCTCCTCGGGGTAGTCCGATCCTCGCGCCCTGCCAGAACTGCTCGGCCGACACCTGCGGCGCGCCCGCGGGGCCCAGGCAATAGTTCACCGCGAAAAACCCGCACGTGAGGCCCAGTTGCATGACGGGCGCGTCTGGCCAGCCGGCAGGCTGCGGGAGCGCGCAGGGCGCGGCTCCCGGGGGCCACTGCCGTCTCCCGCTCGCCAGCTGCGCCTGCCCCCGCCAGGGAGGGGGGCCCGCACGGCTGGGCGTAGCGTGACACTCCTCCGCTCCACCGCTGGCGCTCTCGCCGCGGGCGGCCCGGGGCTGCCGACGGCGCCTGCTCGCCCCGAGGCCGCCTCGGCGCCCCCGAGGGGCGTTGCGCCACCCTCGGCGCAGTCGCCGACGGCTCCCGCGGAGCCCTCCCCGGTGGGCCCGGTCCAACAGCCCGGCGCCAGGGGCACATCCCGACCGCGCCAGGCGCGGGGATGCCGGGCACCGGGCAGCAGACCCACCCCCAGCCGGGAGGGCAGGGCTCTGGGAGGCAGAGCCACGTGGGCCCCCCCGGGCTGCCACGCGACGGCATGGCTGCCCTGCATGCCGCCGCGCCCCGCGCGGCCCAGCGCCAAACAGCTGGCGGGCCCTCGAGCCCACGGCCGCGGCACGCTCCCAACCCCCGGCCAGGGGTTGGGAACTTCAGTATACGGAGGGGCCCTATCCTGCACACCCCTCACGCACTTCCTGCCCCCACTGGGACACGTGGAAATACGAATGATCTTTGCTCTCATGCCCCTGGGACGCGTAAGCGAACAAGCGATTGGGGCCTCGAGGCCCCTGGGAGACGTCAACATACGAGTGGATTACCCTTGCACGTTGGTGGGAACCTCGATTCGGCACACCCCTCGCGCATATCGTGAATGTTGGGCGCTCAACTGGCCCCCGAGACGGCTCCTTGGAGCCTCAATTGGGCACAGCCCTCACGCACGTCGTGCCCCATGGACCCCAAAAGGCCCTCCGCTGGCCTCCAAGACCGCCCAATCCCGTGAGGGCTGCGACTGCGCCCGCAAGAAACGTTGCAACGATTGGAACCGACTCGCGTCGAAGCAGTATCCCTATCACCCACTGGTTTTAGGTCGGGCATGTCCCCCTACAGGTGGATTTTGGACGAGCCAAATATCCCAAAATGATCAAACATAGTCAACAAAAGTGGCCCCCGGACTATGAGGGACAGGCCCGACTTAACACTGGTTGCTTAACCTGCGTGCAGGTTTCCCCTGGGGGGCCCGCCATGACTCCCGCACTGCGGGCTCAATAACGGCAAAGCTATTGATGGGCCTGTTTTCCACCACCACCATAAGTTGGAGGGGGGAGAGGGTCATCCTCCCCCTCTTCTTCTTCTTCTTCCTTCTCCTCCTCCTCCCCATCCTCCACCTCCGCCCCCCCTCCAACTTGTGGTGGTGGTGGTGGTGGTGGTGGAAAACAGCGAAGGGGCCCTGGAACACACAAATAAATACACACACGCGCACAAATAACAGGATTCCCCATATTTCCCATATTTTCTGCGTTTTTGTCCTCCCCCCCACTTCCCATATTTCCCATACTTTCTGGGGGCTCGACGACTGATTGTGTCTGTGTGCTCTTCCTCCTGGGTAACAAGCCCATCAGCTCCGGCCGCCTCTCTCGCAGCAAGGTCAGTGCAGCGCGCCCCTTCTTCGAGCCAGTCGCGCGCGGGGTGGCTGGCCCTGCAGGGCCCCCAGGGGGCTTCTCGCCTCGCGGTGGGGCGGGACCGGGGCGCGAGCTCGTGCGTCAGTAGGGGGCCACATGCTCCTCCTCCTCCTCCTCCTCCTCCTCCTCCTCCGCCTCCCTCCTCCTCCTCCTCCTCCTCCTCCTCCTCCTCCTCCTCCTCCGCCTCCTCCGCCTCCTCATCCTCCTTCTCCTCCTCCTCCTCCTCCCCCTGCCCCCCCCCACGATTTCTGAGGAGGAGGGTGGGGTTCCCGTCGCTCGAGAACTCCCGAGCGAAGTGAGCGCCACCCTCCCCCCTCAGAAATCGCGGGGGGCAGGGGTAGGGGTCGCATGAAGCCCCCTAGTCAGAGGATCGCCGACGCCACCCTGAAGAAGCCAGGACTGGCCAAGCGATGCCACCCCTGGCTACGTCTGGGCATCACTGGTGTGTAGCGCCTAGGCCACCTGACTTCGCGCGCCGCGCCCCGCGGTGCGCGACGCCCGATTGACCTTCGCGCCCTCGCGCCGCCTTGCAGACGAGCAACCTGGCGTCCCAGGCCGCGATGCGCGAATCCTAAAAGTCGTCGCGCCCCTACGGGTGACCAAGAGCACAGTGTAGATCCGGAACCACGGTTGAGGGACAGCAGCTCGTGGGCAATTCGAGTGGGAACGGTTGTCTGCTCGAGGTCGGATTGGCTTTCCCTCCTGGCCTCCCGCAGTCTCTCGTGCAACATCCCTGGATCCTTGGCGTGCCGGTTCCATCGTTTGGCCCCAACCAGCCAGCTGGAATACTGAGCGCTTCCCTGTGCCGCGTAATCGGAGCGCAATCGGAGCGCAATCCGAGCGCATTGGGAGTATAGTCGAAGCGCCATCGGAGCACAATCAGAGAGTCATCGGAGCATAATCGGAGTGCAATCGGCGAGTTCTTTGCGTACCAGTGCCATCGAGTCGCCCCCAATGGTCAGTCCAAAAACGAAGTGCGTTCGTGGGCCTCCCAGTAAATGCTCCCTCCCCGCTGGAGGAGAGCGGGAGTCAGGACCCCCTGAATGCAGACTGTTATAAGGCAGGACACTGGCACGCCCGAGGAATCTGAAGCCGTGGATCGAATGATTGTCAGTGATTCGTTCTCTCCAGGTAGATTTGTCAAAATCCTCTTTTTCGGTGTCCTAATTTCGAGGGCCCTGAGAAATGACAGGAGGTGCGAGACCGGGGGTGCCGGTGTGGTAAGGCTTCGGGTTGCACACGGCCCCCCCAAGGTAGTCCCAGCTGGCCCCAACAGGCCCCTCGAGTACAGTCGGGGCGTTTACCTAAGGAACCCGGAAAAGGAACGAGGCCCCTTTATTCCATAAGTCAAACTTTGATTCCCCATCGAAAACCAACGGAAAAAACTAAGGCAAACCGTGAAACTATGAAGGAACACGGAGCTTTGGAGTCCCGAAACGGTGCGGTGACGGACGGTGCGGTGACCTCGGAACCCCAAGAGACCTCACTGCACGGTCCGTCACTGCACGGTCTGGGGACCCGGAGACCCCGTCGCCCGAGACGCCCTCGGAGAGGGACCCGAGTACCAAAACCGTGCGGTGACCCCGAATCCCCACCGACTCACCGCACGGTGTGGTCACCACACCGTTTGGGGGCCGCCGAGGAGTTCCTCCCCAACGAGAAGCGTTCCCTCTTCAGCGCCCCGACTGCTTTCTGGGACGGTCTCAGCACTCCAACCCCTGGGGCGCGGGGCGCACCGGCGGCGCCGCCGGAGGCGGTGCCAGGGTGTCGAGGTCGCCCGGGGCTCCTCGGGGGACCTCGCGAGGCCAGCTGGGACTAGACCGGGGGGGGGGGGCCGACGCCTCAAGGGTTGGAACACGAAGTGCTTCCCCTGGCCCCCCCAGCCGGCGCTCCCTCCCCGCTGGAGGGGCGCGGCATGGCAGAGTCAGGTCGGGCGTGTCCCCCTACGGGCAGCTTTGAGGCGGAAGACTAAAGATACTCAAAAACTGCCCACAAGGTGTCCGGCAGTGGTCGAAAAATCCTCCCCTGACTATTTGCTTGAACTCTCTTCGAGCATCCCCCCTGTAGAGAGGGACGGGCCCGACTGCACGGCGGAGGGCTGCGAGGCCGGGCGCGCAGCCTGCCCGCCAGGCGCCGCCCAGCAGGGTGCTCGCCTGCGGGGCGCAGCTTCGCGGCGCTCCGCCCCCCGGGGGCCCCTCCTCGCTGCTGCCGGTGCTGCTTCTCCGCCTCGGGCGCCTCCGCCTCGACCGCCTCCGCTCACTCGTCCTCCGTCCTCCTCATCCCTCCTGGATCCTCCTCTCGTGCCTCGTCCTCGTGCTGCCTCTCCCGTCGCCGGTTTGGCTCCACACGGTGGTTCGCTTGCCTGTGCAAACCGCATGTTTGCTGCTATATCCTGGAAACTCACCCTACGCCCATGGCATCTCGGCGTGACAGCGCCAATACATTTGTCTGCAGCTTTTGTGTGCGCAATAAATTCGAGGGGAAATTGTTCATCAAACGATCACGTTTCAGAATATAATGCTAGACAGGTCCTTCCACAACAAGGTAAAATCCGTCACCGCGCCCCCTGGCACGTTGAGGCGCGCTAGACAGCCAAGTCCTGTCTGGTGCGGCTTCGTGAACTCTATAGCCCCCTCTTCCAGCACTTCAACGCGTGCACCGCCTCCGATTTCCCTGATGATAAAAACACGTTTCAGAGCGCGGACCCTGAACGGTGGGTCAGTTCCTTGCACCGTGGACGTGGCTTTAGGTCGGGCCTGTCCCCCTGCAGGGGGATATTGGGCGAACAATTAAGCATGCCCGGAAAATAATCAAGAAAATGCCAAAAAATGATCAAAAAATCGTCCCCTAACTATTTTCCACCGTCCTTGAAAATCCCTCCCGGGGAGGAGGAGGAGGAGGAGGAGGAGGAGGAGGAGGAGGAGGAGGAGGAGGAGGAGGACACGCACACAGCTTGGGATTGTTCGATGTCCGCCGCGAGAGAGCACGGCCGACTATGGAGGGCTTTGTGCCTCCTCTCCCTGGGCCTTGGCACGCTCCTCGCGCACCAGCTGGGCCAGGGGAATTGCGGGGGTCTTATAAACGATCGGGGACGACTTTGTGCCCTTTGGATCTCGACCCTCTTGGACGCGGGCTAACTGAGTGGCCGCTCCTTGGTGGCTCACTCTAGTGCCGCACACACTAGTGAGCCCTCGACCCAACCCCTCAGAGAAGGATCCACACTTATGGCAAACCAAGATACTCGTCGGGTGATCAAGGTGCTCGTAGTAAAATAAATCATGGCCTTTATTATCATGCACAAGATCGGAAAGCTGCTTACAGTGGCCTGGGCAATGCTGGGCCAGTAAAACTTCCCGCTGTTTGAACGACTTGGTCTGCACCGTACACAGGATGCACCTATGGTACTGATGGATGAGAGCCCACGTGTGATACCTGAAGGGCTCCCTGGGCTCCTCGTGGGGCTCTGGAGGAGGCGGAGGAGGGGTAGGCTCGACCGACGACGGCGGCGACCACGACGCAAGGGCAGAGGCGGCGCCCGAGGGGGGAGACAAGCTCTTCTCAGGGGCGGCCAAGGCTTTGTTACGGCGTGGGGCGATCGCGGGCCACTCTCCCAGAGCCTGAGCAACATACTTCAAATATCGAATGAGAAACTTCCGACTGTCAGTGAAATCGCTTTTCTCTGCTTCGCTGGGCTGCATTCCTTCAAAAGCGGCGGCCTTGGCAATCCGATCAGCAGCATCATTACCTTCGGCCAACCGTCGCTCTTCACTGCCCTCGGAGAGGGCCTGAATATCTTGGTGGGCCTTGACCTTACGCAAGCGCTGGCCGAGGGGGAACTGGCCTCTGCCAGCCAACACCTTACACCCAGCCCACAAGTTGTGCCGAGGGTACTCTGCACCCTGGTGCAGAGACAGAACTCCTTTATAAACAGAGTAAATCACTTCAACATCCCTAGACATAATACTGGCCGCAACAGCGGCCAAATGCTCCGCGGCTCCAGAGGTTTGTAAAAACATCTGGCCGACTCGGCCACTGAAATGGGCAAAAGCTTCGCCGTTACGCATACAGACAACCGCGAAACCTGCGGCGTTGAAGACATAGTGACCGTGGTTAGTGCAACTACCGTCTATATACACTTCCCCTTCGCTGAAAGCCTCCTGAGGGGTGACCCCATCCTGAGCACACCAAAACTCCCCAAACTCCAGGCCCGAACCAGGAAGGTTCTCACCACGATACTCGGGGACCAACTGGAAACCGAGGTACTGGGGCAGGGTCTGGGGAGGAGGCTCTCTTAAATTCTGAAGCTCCGCTGCCGAGAAATGAGTGGCTCTGAGATTCTCTGTCTTCGGGCAATATAGTATGCGGTGGCCGAGGTTGTCCGAATGGTGGCCGCACTCGCAGCCAGTCTTGACTTCGTATCCTGCTGCCTTGGCTCTGTCCATAGTCCATATGCTCTGAGTGAGGAAGGCGAGGAGGGTTCCCTTCTGGTGGCCAAGGAGGTCTGGCGACGACAGAGCAGCACGGGCAGCAACCACATCTAACTGAGCGTTCGGGTGGCCGAGCTTCTCGGCCGCCTTGGAGGCGAGCTGGCCGTGCCAGTCGAACTCCATGAGCTTTTGGAGGAGAGCGGGGGAATGTCCTGGGAGAGGGGACTCAATGCCTGAGGAGGTCACAAGGGTAAATGGTCCCTGGAATTTCCAACCGATCCTTTTAAGCGAAAGCACCGCGGCGCTGAGGGGGGCCCTGGAGGAGCCCCAAGATTTTGAAACTCTCGGGAGGATGGCCTCAGCCCAACCACTCAGCTGCTGGAGACTGGCCACGGCAAGGTGGGGGCGGGTGGCGGCGTCCCAGACAATGCGGCGCCACATAATGGCAGGGCCCAGGGCAGCTTTCCACAAGGGGTCCTTGAGGATGAGCAAGGCCAGACTGCGGCTGCGCGTCGGGCAACGGGGTCCCGCAGCAGCCAAAAACTGCGACCTAGCAGATTCCAATTGCGTGCCATTGATGCCAGTCACCTCGACTCCGAAAGTGGTGGCCGCCTCGAGGCCAGTCTTATGCAACTTATGAGTGTTACCCCCAGCTCTCTTGAGCATGCGAACCCTGTTAAGTCTTTTACGCATCTTATCAAGACGCTCCGAAATCTTACGATACTTTCTCCAGCGGCGTTGGGGCCGTCCAGCCCCGGTTTCACATCCCAGGTTAGGTCCAGACCTATCCGCGTTCGGGCCTGCCAGAGGCCCGAGAGCAGTCCTGAGTTGATCCTGAAGGGCTTGTTGGGACGCCAGGACCTGGCTTTTCTTGCTGGTGATCTGGCACTTGGACTCATTGATGATGCAGTCTGCCATGGACCTGGCAGCAATATTAAGCTGGCTGACGATGAGGCTGTAACTGCGGCCGTGGCACTGGAGCAGCAGATCATCTATAAACATCGCGAGCCTGATGTGACAATGCGCCTGGGTCCACACGTCGAGCGGGGCAAGCACATACAGTTGCACAAGATAGGTGGCCCAACTGCATCCTGCGGCAATGCCCCTCCAAGGCTTGCCTACACTGACTGCACAATCTTGTAGTGCAACTATGCGTTCGCTGGCATATTGAGATAATATGATACGCAATAAACAACACGGGAAACCTGATTCAACAGCACGGTGTGCGAGACATGGCCGATCAACGTGTTCGTAGTAGTTAGATAAATCGTAGAGAACTTGGGCACTATATTGTTGATCTTTGTCAGAGCTATTGAACTCGCATTCCAAGGATTGTTTGTATACTAATTCCACTATGGAGTGGCCAGCCTGATGAGCAAGGTACGGCCTGCGGTGGTGCGCCTCCCACTCTCTGGCCGCTGACCTCCTGAGCCTAGCCCAGACTCTGTACAAAGCTGGGAGCATGCCAATGGACCTGAAAGAAGGCTGACTGGCTGGGGCATCATGTTGTTTCAACTTCATCATAAGAGTCGATACGATACCTTGGAGCTGGGTTGGCATGTGTCCAATCTTTTCAAGCAGGCCGATAAAATCGCCGACAATCTCTGCCTGCTCATCATTCAACATACTGAAATGCCTGGGGTGGAAACCGTCCCAGGTAGAGGCAGTGGCATGGGGGAAACTTTTCGCAACTTGTCGTAATCTCTTGGGGCTGATGGGGCCCAGGGCAATACGATCATCTCTGTCAGGAACGAGCTGTGGTGGGGTCTCCTGGGAGACCTGCCATATTTTTGCCAGACGATCAGCTTCTACCTGCAATATATGCTGGGGCCTGCCAGAATACTGCGACTTGCATGGAACTGACGAGGGCCTCCAGGCCTCCAAACGCTTAGACCATCTGTGAGCCCATCCCATTCCTCCCTTCATGTTGTCCTGAACCCAATCCCTCCATGCCTTCCCGTCGGCAGCGTTCTCGGCCGCCTGCTCCTGATACAGGAGCTTGGTGACGTGCTCTAGCAGCTCGTCCAGAACCTGGATCGCCAGCGCCTGGTTCAGGGCACCGGCGCTGAAATCTACGCGCAACAAACCTGCGGCAACTCTAATATCCTGCAGCCCCTCCTTGAGGGACACGACGGTGGTGAACAACTCAGGGCAATCCTCTAAGCTGTCGAGAGCGTCCTGAAACTCAGTGAGATTCCAGTCCTGAACACATCTATGGCAATCTTGAGTCCTATTGATAAGCCATCTCAGAGGGCCCGTGTAGGCCACCCATTTAGCCCTACTCCTAGCAGCCTTGGCCTCAGCGGGGACCATAAGAACCTGAGGGGGGTGGGCCCTGGGGCACTTGCTAGGCTTGAGGGGGGTATTAGTTTTCTTACTGATTGTAGCTTCCAAGTCCTGGGCCAAGCTGAAATACACGTGGTCCAAGAGCACCGACTGCTGTTGATCACTGAGCGGCCGTCGAGCATCATCGATCAATTGTGAAGCGTACTCCAATGCAGCAGCTGACTGGCGCCAACTCACTTCATTGCGGGCCCACAGGAATACGTGCGGGTAGCTTCTGGGGCCTATGCAGCGTGGGAATATTAAAGTTATTCTCAACTACAATATCTAGCAGCACAGGTCTGTGAGGGGAGAGAGGATACGAGGACAGAGCACGGGGGTTTCTGAGCCACGGCGAGAGGCCTTGGCTAGACAGGAAATAATCTAGAGTAGATTTGGTCTTC